AGCTAGGGTTGGGAAAAACTCATGGATTCTTTGGAATTCAAGTTAAAATAATCTAAAATCAGTAGTATCATCAATAAAAAAAACATAATTTAACCTTTAAGAACAAGTTTGAAAGAAATCCATGGGGTTGAGTTGAAACCCTAGCTAATTGGGTTTTCTATAATTGAGTTAAAAGCTTTTGAAAGGGCTCCTTGGGTGATAGCTTCCCAAGGATGAAGAACTCCCATACCTTAGTCTAGAATCCAACAAATTTCGTGTAGAAAATCTCCCTTCTTGAAGCTCTAACTTGGTTTCCTTCTTGGTTCTTCAATGGAGTTTCTAGAGAGAAGATTCTTGGAGGGGAAAGTAGTTGGGTTTTGATTTGGGGTCTTGAGTTATAATGAGCTAATGAGGTTTTTAATACATTAAAATACTTTATATATATGAAATAAACCCATATTAATCAACCCCTATTTAAAAAAAACTAAAAACGAATTACCTAAACTAACCCACCTATTGGCCGACTTTGGGCAGATTAGAGGTGCAATCCACGCCCCATGGACCTACGGTCCGACAAATGATCTACTGGGCGTGCTGAAGGTCCGTGGTGTTGACCTTCAGCTCCTCAACCAGGCCTTGAACCACTCCCCATGACCTACGGGGCGTCACTCCATCTACTGGCCGTGATTGGCCATCCGTGGTTCACTCATTTTGGCAGCTTTTTGTGTTCTAAGCAGCCTTGGGGGTTAGGCTTTAGGGTCCCCCTCAAGGACCCTTGGTTGGTATTTGGGGGGGTCATACCTTGACGTTTAACCCCTAGACACCTCAATCTAAGATCGAGAAGTCAATATACAACCTAAAACCAAACACCAAACTCAAAAGCTCACACGTTAGGCTCTTGTTTCACCTATTAGTTTCCATTAGACTCTAGTTTGGTCTTACTAGTTTTCCGGGTTGTTACATTATCTCCCCCTTAGGAACATTCGTCCTCGAATGACACTTGAAACACTTAATGGAATTAAAGACTCAAGACTAGCAGCCCATCATGCATGAAACATCAATAATGCACAACTAAAAATACATTATTTACAATGTGCACTTGTTCAAGGAGGGACCATCAACTCCAATTTAACATGATCAATGCAATACAAGGAATTATCAACCATACCTAAACAACCTATTTATGCATGAGATTATCATCACTTGTCATGTTCAATGAGGAACTACCATATCCTAACTAAAACATGTCAATTTATTCTTCTCATGAAATACAATAGGCAACTCTTACTCAAAGCACCACAACATGAGGGAAACAATTCACATAAACTCATTTTCTTTCAAAACACAAGTTTTCATGAACATGCATTATATACAAAGAAGTCATGGCAACATATAAGCACATAACAACAATATTAGCTAGGCATACCATCTCCCCCTTAGGAGTGAGCCTATACCATCAGTTATAAACATCATTAATCACATAGTCACAGGAAGAATTACATTTTCTCATTAAAAGCAAGCTCACACAATCAACATGGAGCCTAAGTGCCATTTCATCAAAAACACAACAAAGCATGTTCATCACACCATCTCATGAAGTCAAATATGTCATCATGCACAACAACATGAGGAATATGTAAATAATGAAAATCCATTTTATACAAAGTAAGAATCTTTCAAAAACATGCAAACCATAAGAAGATCGTGGAAATTTCTAAAACACTCATGACCCCTAGATATAGTACAAACCCAAAAAGGAACTCTTGGTCTCAAGCTAGAATAGGAATAGAAGAAAAGATGAGGATATGGGGATTCTCAATCAATGTTGCTACTCAAGCACATGATCTCCCCCTTCGAAGTAACCCCCTTTTTACAAAAAAAACCTCAAATACTACTCCGTTCAACAAACTCTAGGCATTTATAAGACCCTTTATAACCCTACCGAGCTCTAAAACTAATAGAGGTCTAATAACCATGAATCCAAACCCTACCAAGGTCAACAAAAGTAACTCTAAGAAACAAGGAAATTATAGGACACACATAACATCCAAGACTCCAAAATCATGAAATGGGTCAAGGAGTACTCATCATTTTAGGCTAGAGGAGAAATTGGAGGGGACATAAGGATATTGGGACATCTCATTGGCCCTTGGCCTCCCAATTAAGCACCTTCAACTAACACCCTTAATATTTCCTCTATAAACTCTAGAGGATCTTCCTCCATCTTTGACCCATAGATATCCAGAATCTCTATCCCAACTTGAGTCAACCAATGAAAACCATTCCTAATCCGCTCACTTGACATTAAGTCAACAGGAACTTGGGGAACTTGAGGAGAATCTCCTTGATCATCATAGTTTTCTTCAATCCCACCGGTGCAAGCTTCTTGAGTAGTCATATCTTGTAGATCATCAGATAAGGATTAGAAGAAAGACCCTATAAGTTTAACTCTATCGCACAACTCAAAGAATGAAGAAGTGAAGTTTTTCCTAACATTTGATAGCCTCCTATTCATAAAATGTGGCGCGCTTCACATTTATGAACTAGACTCTATTAGATGTGGTTTGAGACATCCTTAAAACCATCCCAAAAACCTTAGGCTCTGATACCACGTTTGTCACGACCCGAGGTTACCCTCTAGAAGTAACACGGCGTAGTTGACCCCGAAGGGGTCGCATACAAGCCTCATAGCATACATGAACATGAAAGAAAAGGAAAATAGAGCGGAATTTAAAACTTTTCTTACAATCAAAGTCTATTATAAAATGAAAGAGAATCTATGACACTATGTCTCAAACCATTTATTATACTTGGAATAAACTATTGAAATACAAATCTTAGGGACACGACCCTTACAACAAAAGTCTAAAACATAATAGAAAGACAATAAAGGATATAAGGTTGAGCCCTCGAATACAATGAGGACTCACCAATCTTCTTCTTCTTGATCTCCTATGAATCTAGCCACAAGGATGGAATCCAATTTCTCCAAAGCCTACACTTATAGAAAATGTAGAAAGATGGGGTTAGCACAAAAAGTACTAAGTATGGAAGCAATGCACAAAAACATTAAAACATGCATGAAAAGGGACATTTCATTTTAAATCATGCTATATGCCATTTTTGGACATCGTGTTTGAAATAGTTGGAGAATGCAACCAATAAGGCAACTCACATACATTTCATTATAACATGAGAGTTATCATTATAATAGCAAGCCTAGTCTCCAACATCAACATAACACAAATCCCAATCTTCACAATACATAACCTCCAATCATAGATTAATACAAACTCAAATACCAAGAACATCTCATCATTAAGTAATCATCAGATAAGGAACCCCTAAGAAACACTTGTGTAATGTATGGTTGGCATCCCATAATACCAACCCTACTAAGTACTCCTTTAAAGCTACTTTAGTCATGCTTTTCATCTTTAGACCTCATTAAAATCAATAGTCACAAATAAGGAAATAGTCAAGTACATTACTTTAATTATAAGGAAAGTCATTCATAACAACTATCCATTATATATGCATGCATGCATTCAAATCTCATTATAACACAAAGGAACCATCCCATGACATCCTACTAAATCTACTTGTGCAATGTGGGAGTGAACTCCCATACCCCCAATCCTACTAAGTAAACTCACCAAGAAGTCATAGTATAGTTCATGTCTCATTCATTATCTTTATTATTTAGGGAAAAGTTGCCATAACCGACATAGACCATGTGAGCTACATGGAATCCGGTGTCGTGTAACCCCACACCGAAAGAAGGTGTCCTACTTGCCTAAGGTAGAACTAAATTTATAGCTATAAGGTTGATCCACTAGCTAAAGACCTATGTGGGTACATAGTTATGGGATAGGGAGATTGCTTCTAGAAACCCGGCCTATTATATTGGTGGAGGAGCTTCCGTGTCATGAGCTCACTTAGATGACCCAACCTATTGCATTGGCGGAAGAGCCTTTACCTCATTGTTCATATCCACTCGGTGCTTATCATTATTTTCCAAATTATACATAATTATTGTTTGAATTTTATTCACATGTATGAAGGAATACTTTGCCCTTCGTTCAATACAATTCATCAAAATAGCTCATTGATTCATTAAAGGTGAGAATGTACTTTCAACTTTAGAATCAACATTAGTATGTGAGAATAACTTTCACACCAACATCATGTGTTCTCATGAGAATGGACTTTCAATCAACACAATAGGATCATCATGGTCTTGTATATTTCATGCATAATAATGTGTAAAGCTACATATGAGAACTATACTTTCAATTAACACCATTGCACTACAAAAAGAATTATTTTTAGTGACAAACAAAATCGGTCGCTAAGTAGCTTATTCCGTCGCTATTTATGTTTAGCGACGGAATAGCGACAAAATATTGTTCGTCTCTATATTGCGCGTAGCTAACCATTTAGTGACGAAAAAATTGAATCCATCACAAACTGAGCGACGAATTTGCGACGAAAGTTATCTGTTGGCAAGATTAGCAACGGAAAAATCTGTCACTATTTTTGTAATTTATGTCGCTGTTCCTGTAACTTATTTCATCGTCTCAACATATTGGCGACCAAATTATTGTCGCTAATTTTGTCACCAATTTCTTTAGCGACAAAAAAATTCGTCGTGTATTTTAAATTTTATCCCTCATTTTATATATTATTTCATCGTTTCATCATATAGGGCGACCAAATATTTTGTCGCTAATTTCATCTCCATTCATTTAGCGACGAAATAATTTGTCACAAATCTATCAATATTTTTTATTTGTGTAATTAAATACACATTTTCAAACACATATTATATAATCATAAAATTAACTTAATCCGTAGAAATTAATACTCTACAAGATCCAAAGTACATAGCTAAGTGAAAATTATATTACTAAGTTCAAAATATCCCCAATGATAAAATTTCAAGCAAAATATATAGCTGAAAGCATTTGCAACAAAATCTAGCCAACAAAAACTAACTAAGAGAGACTAGAGAGCCACAATCATTCCTCAGAAACCGATGCCCGATCCTCATCGATATTTGTTGCAGTTGGAAAAGGAATTACAGGTGCAATAGTTGATGGATGGTTGGTAGGAGAGTCTGGCTGAGATGAGGCTGGAGAAATCAAACCACGTATCTGCTCTACAAATATAGGAAGCAAGTGATTAGTTAGCGAAGGAATCATTCGCACCACTAACTCATCCACATTTTCTGTCGGTGTTGTTTGAGCATTTGGACATGGTACTGTGCCAGAAGCATCAGATCCAGAAGAGACACGAAAATTTGGTCCATAAAATACTTTTTCTTGAGCTCCAAGACCATATATCCTTCTTTTATTTTCCCCTCCCGCTGCTTGATAATATGCTTTCCATTGTTCAACATCAGATTGAGTTTATGTTTGGTTCTGTAATATTTCTTCATATTTTTCCTGCAAAAGAGTGAAAATAGTGAAATTATTTATTTATAACAACAATAGACACATCCAGACTCAACTAACAGCAATGAGTTCTCATGTGTTTAAAAAATTATGCATTTAAAAAGGTCTAAGAATAAAAACAGACAAACTGTGCAAAACAAAGTTCACGTGAGTAAATTTTGAACAAACCAACATCAAATATCGAAAGCGGAATTCCAGATCAACACCAAATATTGAAATCTGAAAAAACTGCACTTGAGAAACAACTATTTAAACTGCAATGCCTACTTCTACTGATCCCAATATCTTTGCCAGGCTTAAGTGTCTAGAGAAGGAGAACACAACTCATAAAAAGCACTGACTGAAATGTATTGAAAGAAGAATTACAAATCAATACTAGTCCTCATGTTGATCTCGTGAACAATAATCTAGGAGAGGAGCTGGAGAAGTTGAGGAATGGTCAGATAAGTATGAGGGTAGAACTTGAGAAGTTGAAAGAATGGTTAGATAAGTCTGAGGGTCAGAAAACATAGATCTTTCTTTCCTAATTTGCTAGGCTGCGGAAAGGAAAATGTCTTTCTTTCCTAGTTGCTGCAGTCAAGATCCTAATCCATAATTTTACTTGTGATATTCCAAAACCACAGATAATGTCTTTCACCTAGTAAACTTCAGTAGTTTTCCTATTGTTTAACCATAATTCCCCACCTTTGGAAACAATAGTATATTGGCAGTTAACAACATTGGTTTTCCTTCATTCACGTGGTGATAAGAGTTGACAGTTGAACCAGTTGGCGAATTAAATATGCATATACTTATTTTTCGTACAGTGCACATCCTAAGAGGACTTAGTGTTGGTCTGGGAATTAATTTTTCGTACAGTGCACATCCTAAGAGGACTTAGTGTTGGTCTGGGAATTAATTTTTCGTACAGTGCACATCCTAAGAGGACTTAGTGTTGGTCTGGAAATTAATTTTTCATATGCTGAGCAGTGGAGACCCATTACTGAAGAAGTTATGTATGTTGTAGGAAGACTTACATGTATCTTCTGTTATGGTCCTAGCAGCAATGACACTAGAAATAGGCCACAATTGGTGGAGTCGCCATATTGTGTGGCTGGCTCAGTCCAGGATTGGATTGGAAGGTGGAAAGCGAGATTTCTATGGAAGGAGAAGCTTTGATTGCAAAGTCTGCTTCTAGTTTAAATGATGAGACGGAGGCTTATCTTCAACTATGGACCTAGTATATTATCTTTTTCCATCAAATACAAAAATATGAATTCTAGTACATGTTTAAATTATGATCTTCTTAACAGATTGAAATTGAGAAAAATTAATTGAAATCTGAAAAAATTGCACTTGAGAAACAACTACAATTCCTACTTCTACTGATCCTGATATCTTTGTCAAGCTTAAGTCTAGAGAAGGAGAGCACAACTCTCAAAATTGAACTGAAAATAAAGATTATAGAAAGGGATTTGAGCACTCAAACAACATAAACTGCCAGCAAAGAGCAGTTGGAAAGCATAAAAAAACATAAATGAGCATAGTAAAAGAGCCCAGGAAGCTAAGGTTCAAATGGTGAACTGAAAATAAAACAGATAGTTCTTTCTCTAAACCTATCTTGTGTTGTTTTTCATTTCTGTATAGACACATTGATGTGAATAAAAAAGAAGAAAAATAATAATGGTCTGTGAACTTTGTCATTAGCAGGAGGATTTAACAGTGGTTGCTGACAGGCTTCCAGAATGCCAGAAAACAATTGCATCCCTTGGGAAACAACTACAATGTCTAGCTACTCTGATCAATTGTGTTCCAATCAAAATCAAAATAAAAAATAACAGAAGCTAGAACGAAAATAAAGGGGAAGCACCTGCAACTTATTCTAATCAAAATCAATACCGACAATAACAATGAAGCTTGAAAAGGGGAATGCTTGCTAGATCGAGATAAAACATTTTATCTAGATTTGTATAAAATAAACACAACAACAATATAAAATTAAGAAATTGAGTTCACAAGAAATCTCCATTCCCTTTTGAAGAGATGTCACCAAAAGGGGCAAGAACCTTCAGATTTTTGAGAAGTAAGAAGAGATATAGGCATTACTAGGATCATCAACTCATGTATTATCAACAGTAAGAAGAGATATAATGAACAGTGGACCAAGACTGAAAAGAACACAACAATTGAAACTAATAACACCAGCCACAAATGAAGAGATTAGAAAGCACATTGGGATCAGCAGTAATAATATTGAACTTACATGCACGATTCGAGCTCGTTCACCAACAAAAGATTTTCCATCATTACCATGTGCATGGACATGCAAATGTATCTCACTTGGTGTTGGATCGTGACCATTTTTAATAGCCTATACCAGAAAAAAAAATGAAGTACATGAAAATATAAAAGTATGGTATAGTGTAATTCAAGACCATATTTGTTAGTTCATAACAAAGTAAGGTTAGCTAGGAGACACATCCACATCAGCACTACATCGACATTAACAAATGTTTTTTCTTGTTCACAAAATTCTAGAAAATCCTTAGAGATAAAACTTGAATGCTAACTCAATTGCAAATAGTCACTGTGACACAAGTAAATGAAGGGTACGTGAAAATATAATTACAAGTCTCTTACGATGCTCTCCAATGGTAATAGAGCCTCCCGTGTTGAGTTCCTTTGGCAACTGCATTATGACCGCCACAACCGATTTCTTGTAATTTATTTTTGACTTTTCAATAACCTCAAGTTTCTTCCAAATACTCATCCAACTTTCCCATATTTCTTCTGAAATATATTTTGGCCGTTTTCCTTCTTTCTTTAAGACAGAAATGAAATCACCGTACCTTCTCGCTCCCTTCCTTCGCCATTGTATCTTCACTTGACTATCAATGGAAGGATCCCAATAGAATTCCTTCTGAAATAGTTTTATAAATAACAACATCAGTATCCAAACTATAAAACTGATGAACCTTTTTAATTAAAATGCTGAAATATTATACCTCGAATTACACTAGATAAAAATATTTTGTTTCTTGTGGGACACTTTTCCAATTAGTTCCCTTGGGATCAAGCTAATTTTGAAAGACTCGCATATTCGGTTAGAGAAAGTACTTGAAGGTTCCAACCTGGAAAAAATTGAAGATATTATATGAACTCTTTGATACAGAAATTCATAGTATATTAATAATAATAGTGCAAGCACACACTAATTCGGCAGCAGAAAGAAAAACTGAGTTAAAGAATTTCTCTCTTTTAAGAAATATTCAGATTCTTTCACACATGTCATGGACCAAACTGAACTTGAGAATGTCCAGCAGTAGGAAAAACAGAAGTTTGAGAATGCCTTCCAACTATATAAACAACTATCTTATTTCTTGAGTTTACCTGCTCATGCTAAAAATGAGGTACATTTAGAAAAATTTCAACCAAAGTTGAAGCATGTCATACACAAAAAGATACTAGTAGATTTAAGAAATTAGAGCTGCAAAGCACATAAAAGATACAACAATCAAGCACTGTTTTTCCACAAGAAACAAATAACATCCAAAACATATTACTATAAACAAACGTCATTAAAGACATTGTAGCACATTACTATGAATACACTAGTCTGTATCTATTTCTTCTTCGAACTCCTCATCATCCTCTTCAGATTCATTCTCAGTTTCATACTCGTCTTCTGTAAATTCTTCATCTAATTCATGATGCTCTGGAAACAATCCGTAATCCATTGGTTCATCCATTTCAATTGCCTCCCCATTTGGATCATGCATAAGTATAGTTTCATCAACAATAATATTCATATCTATCTCATGAAATTCAACTTCTTCAACTTGAAATGGAAGATTTGGTTCTGGTATTGTGATCACTCACTCGTCAGGTAATTCAATGGCATCTCGAGGGTTGACTTTTAATATAGCTAACCAATCATCCTTGTCCTTCTTTGTGCTAGGATAAGACATATAACACACTTGAGTTGCTTGCATCGCAAGAATAAAAGGTTCATATTTTTTAAATCGGCGACGATGATTAACATCGACCAATTTATACTGATTATGCACCTTAACACCAATATTTAATGCCGGATCAAACCATTCACACTTGAATAACATAACTTGCTTTAAAGGTGCTCTACGGTATTCCACTTGTATAATTTCTTGAATCCTTCCATAGTAATCACCCATATTTGGATCAGAGATACAAACTCCACTATTCATTGTTGATCTTGCACTACCGCGATGTACTGTGTGAAATTTGTATCCATTAACAAAACACACTGGATAAGAATACACACTTATTAATGGTCCATGAGCAAGACTACGCAAGTATTCATTTTCAATATGGTTGGATCGAACCTATTTAAAAAAAATATGATAAGATTTAGTCAAATTCACAAGACAATTCGACACATTATATTTTAAATGATAGTGATGATTTAATTAGGCTTACATATTCCTTGAACCATACAGAAAAATATGTTTCGAGACTGTCATCTATTTGATCTTGAGATAGATTCGGAAACTCTTCTTGCAAACGTTGCACATACATGCTTCATTGCAACAAAATAAGTCAAAAATAAATTCATAATATATGGACAAATTTATTATATGAAAGAAGTATAACCTTAAAATTTTACCTCACAAACGGCTCAACCTCTTGACAATTTAGAAGAATATAAGTTTGGGCAGCCTTAATTTTCTCTAAGAGACAAATCTCTCTTTTTGGCTTCTACCCGATAACCTTCCTGGATGGGTGAATATTGATAAATTTTCTTCAGCATCTTTCATAACACCACCATCATCATTACGGGACACATTATGATGACGTGACATAACATGAGGTTCAAAATAATGAGAAAAGAATTGTGTTGATTCGGCAATCAAGTATGCTTCACAAATAGAACCCTTAACACTAGTTTTGTTGCCTATCATATTTTTAAGAGTTCGAAGGTACCTATATACGTAAGAAATTAAATTATCATATTGAACTAGCATATTGACACTATATAACTGCATACATATTTTATATTTACCTCTCAAAAGGATACATCCATCTATATTGTAAAGGTCCAGCAATTCTTGCTTCATATGGAAGGTGCACGGGTAAATGTTCCATTGAGTTAAAGTATCCATGAGGGAATATTCGTTCTAACTTACACAAAATTTGTGGGATGTGTACCTCTAATCTCTCTAAGTCCACCTTTCGAAGAACAGTTGAAGTTAGATCTTTAAAAAATAAACTCAACTCCGTAAGTGCTTGCCACACATTACTAGGAAGTAGCTCATGAAAGGAAATTGGCAATAGTCGTTGCATGAACACATGACAATCATGACTTTTCATCCCAAATAACTTAAATTTGTCTGTGTCAAGGCATTGACTCATATTTGAAACATACCCATCTGGAAACTTCACACCTTCTAACCAATCAAACAAGATCTTTTTTCATTCTTGTCTATTGTATATGCAGCCTTGGGATAGCTTCCATCGGGATTTCTTGCTAACTCTGGCCGATTGCAGTATTTTGCAACATCCTGACGTGCTTTGGGATTGTCTTTGGTTTTGCCATCAACATTAAGAACTGTATTAAATACATTATCAAAGACATTCTTCTCAATATGCATGACATCAAGATTATGCCGTATCATATTAGAACTCCAATAAGGCAAATCCCAAAAGATGCTTCGTTTTTTCCAACCACATGACTTACATAATCTCTTATTAACTTCTTCAGCATCTAACTCAGTTACCTTCCTTATCCCCAACTCACAGATTTGATTAAAAATTTCTTGTCCCAGTTACCTTCCTTATCCCCAACTCACATATTTGATTAAGAATTTCTTGTCCCGTTCTAACAGGTGGTGGCGATCTTGTAACAGTATGACCTTTAAGAAAGTTTTTACGATCTTTCCTAAATGGATGGTTTTGATCAAGAAACATCCTATGACTGTCAAACCAAGTTGTTTTCCCACCATAATGTAATCTGAAGGATTGTGCTTCCTCCATACAATAAGGGCATGCTAAATTGCCACTGGTACTCCATCCTGATAACATAGAATATGCTGGAAAGTCATTGATAGTCCACATCAAAGCTGCTCTTAATTGAAAATTTTGCTTTTTTGAGATGTCAAATGCTTCTACACCTGTCTCCCACAACAAAGTCAATTCTTTTATTAGAGGTTGTAGATAAACATCAATTTTTTGCTTAGGATTGTGTGGCCCTGGAACAATGATAGTTAAGAACATGTAAGCTTCTTTCATACACATTCCCGGAGGTAAATTGTATGGAGTAACAATCACTGGCCAAGAAGAGTATTTTCTTCCCGATTGAGCAAATGGTTGAAAACCATCAGTACATAACCCTAACCTCACATTCCTTGGTTCATCAGCAAAAAAAGAATGAGTTTCATTAAAGTGCTTCAAGCCTCAGAGTCTGATGGATGACGCATTACCCCCTCTTCTTGTATATGCTCATGATGCCATCTCATGTCGGCAGCTGTAGCACGAGACACATATAATCTTCGCAATCTAGGAATAAGAGTAAAATAATACATTCTCTTGTAAGGAACCAATTTTCTCTTATGAGAACCAACATGGTGTTTATACCTTTCATAGCCAAAAAAATTACAAGATGTTAGATCTTTATCATCATCCCAATACAACATACATCCTGAATTACAACAATCAATCTTTTCAACAGGTAAACCCAAGCTACGCACTAGCTTCTTGGTCTGATAATAATTATCCAACACATGATTATCTTCAGGTAAAGTCTCTTTAAATAGTTGCATCATTTGATTATCACCCCTCTGTGACAAAGTGTTCTCCATTTTGATAATTAACATCCTAGAAACTAATGCGAGTTGAGAGATGGAAGAACCAGGATACAATTCTCTATCAGCTGATTGTAGCAAATCATAAAACCTTTGTGAATCAGGATTAGGTTCCTCTTCCATTGAAAGATCAGGAACTTCCTCCATTGAAGGTTCATAATGATAAGATGACTCAGGTTCGATATTTCTATAACATTGCGAAGATGAACCCTGGCCAAAATGTGATCTAGCCGCATCCAAAAACATTTGGTGATATGGATTATCTCCGAATCCAGGTTGAGTACCACCTGGTAAATCACTAGACATCTCACTGATCACTTCTTTTTCCCCTTGATACTTCCAAACAAAATAGTTCTCAACAAATCCAAAATGAAAAAGGTGCAGTTTGACAGTTTCAATATCCATGTAATTAATGTTGTGACATTCTTTACATGGACATCTAACTTCGTCACCACTCATGTGATTTCTGTGAGAACATGAAAACTTGAGAAAGTCATTGACACCAGTTATAAAACTAGAATTAATACCCCCTTGGCCATCCAACCTCTCGTACATCCAACTACGTTTTAGATTATTCATACTCCTATTTTAATGTTAAAATAAACAAAACAATTAGAGTTATCCAAAAATTAGAAATAAAGCAATAACATAATAGTTTAGCAAAAACAATTGAAACCACAAAAAAATAGACAAGCAAAAGTGTCAACAAAGATTTAAAACTTTAATAGAACACAAAACATGTTAGAACGCAACACCAATTTGTTATATAAGCCATTTAGTCAACAGGTTCTGAAGGAATAAAAGGTTGTAGTTATACAGAACCTATTATGCTTTTGCTTGTAATCAAAGAGGAAGAGATTTTTTCGACTCATAAAATTTTGGTGATAGAGATTTTCATTTAAATGTTTGATTTTTATATAAAGAAATAATACAACAAAATGAACAAAAGGCAAGCAAGTAAGTTTATATATAGTTGTGATTTTTAAGATTTTCTTCAATAACTTGTTAACAACTTTAACCCAAACCCACATTAAAAACATTTTTTACTGTATTAAACCATAATTCTTAAACTTGCAATAGTTGGACAATTCAACCAATTACTCAAGTAAAAGGTAATGAAAGGCAACGACAATCAAATGAAGAAGAGGAACACAAAATCATATACGACATCTTGGTTGAGTTCAAATACAGTACATATAAATTATTGTCAAAAGAAATACATATGAATAGAAAAGTAATATGAACAGAAAATCATATAGAATAGAGATACAACGAAATATATAATAAAATAGACTTACTTGAGTTTAAAGACTTTACCTAAATAAATTTTCAAAAACATTACCTTAAATTTCTTTGAGATTCAGCCAAATCTGTAAATAAAATATCAAATCTGTGAAGAAAATTGAAAATATAGAAAAACAATACCTTTTGATTTACAAAGAAATATGAGGTTTCAGAGTTAAAATTACCTTTTGATAAACCAACAATGACGAAGCAACGTCCAAGCAGTAGCGACAAGTTTTCAGCAACGATGAAGTAGCCTCAAAGCAGCAGCGAAAAGTTTCCAACAATGATGCAACAACACTTGATTTCAAGCAATGATGAAGCAACTTCCAAGAAACAACACCTGATGTCCAACAACGATGAATCAATCATGTTGTCGATACAAGAAAAAATGTGGGTATTCACTTTTAGAGACTGAATCATAGAAAACATCAAAATCATTGTTATAAACAGAAAATAGAGCATACGAGAGAATGAATCAAAATGTTACAAACAGAAGAAAAAAAAATAGCAATATATATTCAAGAAAAAATTTATATTATCCTTATAAGAAAAATCTTATATTATCTTATAAGAATCTTCATTGACTAGAGAGGAGGGGGTTAAGCTCTATAAGTAAAACTAAAGACAATGAAATAAATCTGACTTAGGAATATATATAAATCAAACAGAAAGCAAATCCCAGAAAG